TATTATATTATATTATATTATATTATATTATATTATATTATATTATTCGACGTATGCATATATTTACACAATACCAATGAATATAACTAAACAATAAACAAAGTAATAATAAATAAAAGAATATAAATTTTATACGAACTTTAATTCAACGCTATTCAAGAGATACTTATGTAATACATATCGCGAGAAACAAGTAGAAACGAATCGATAATGGTAAATGGTCCCCCATATATTATGCACGTGATAAAATAAACGGCCTCGCGTGACTTCCGGTTCGATTGTAACCCGCAAGAAGTCTTACAAGAGTCGAAACGACGTTTAGCTGGCCTAGCGTTACACACGAGAACGAATTATTTGTGCAGCACATTAAAATACTTATAACAGGCTGTTTAACTTGAATGGCTGGAACGAGTGTTTTATCTATTTTGGCGAAAATCAATGGCTCGATTGCAGCCTCTGTAGCGTTCCAAGATGAATTTCAAGCTCGTTTAGAGGATTCAGTTTGCTCGAAGGATTAATCTCGTGGGGATCGAAGTTCGTTTTGGGTTTGGTGATTCGTTGGGAGGAAAGGGCTCGTGCATTGTATCATGAGATTCTGATACATCGATGGACGGTGTACTCGTCTGTGTTAGACAACTATCTGCAATCTGGATTATGCGAGAATTAGTGAAAATGGTGAGTCAGTTACGAATAGATTTCAGAATCGTGGATTGTCATTTACTTAAAATTCTGTAGGCGTTAGAATAGGTTCAACCTTGATGTTATTCTTACTTCTTCTTCACGTCTCTATGTCACTTCAGATATCTTCCTTTTTATAAATACTTCGTTCATAAGAAGCGTGGAATACAGAAGAACTAGCGAAATTCTATGGAATACCAAGAACAAATATTTTGAAATTATCTATATTTTAATGATACCTATCGAAATATAATATTCATATCGGATTATACAGGATAACAACAATTTAAAGAATTTAAGGAAAATAAAAATTAGTCGAATTTTCCATTTCGAAGCACAACAAATTTACACGAAAAATTCTTAATCCCAAACCACTGTAGTCTTCAAACTCTTTCAAACTTCTAAATACATTCCTTCCATTTGAAAACACGAGTTCTCTCTGTTCGCTAATATCTTCACACATCACCCAGTGCAACGTTCAGAAAAAATAACCGATAAAATCCTTAACCAACTTAATCCATTTCCAAACTACCGTATTCTTCGAGTACCTTGAAACTTCTGCAACTCTAAATGCCAGTACGCATTTTGTTCAGCCCAGAAACATCGCACAGACCACACTCGCGAACTACAATTTCCTTCAAATTCTCCGTTTCTTTCTTTCAGATCACGAAAGTCTTAGCCAGCGTAGTCATGTAATTCGGTGGATCACGATAGCTCACAGTGTGTCTGATCTTCCCTGAGTGACGGGTAGCCGAACGGTCGTTGAACGGCCGGTGCACAGAACGGCCTGGTCGGACAGGAAGCTCGTCGCGTCTCCAACCGCGAAGGATCGGGTGATGAGCTCAGGGTACCAG